CCCCTTGGTGCCGGGTATGACGTGTACGTACGTGCTATGCCCACCTTGAGTACTTGATTGTTGTTACGCATAGATGGCAACACTAAATCACCAATGAGCCAGTTACGAGTACCGCCCGTCTCGCCCGTTTACCCGTGTCTTTGATTTATGAAATATTTTACGTAGCCTACCTTCGCAAATCTCATTTAACTTATCACAACCGGACCTCTAACATCAAATTCCCACTTTTGTCGCTGGCGGTTGTTCTTAACGTGCAGTTCTGACAGGATCATGTAATTATCCTAGAAGCCTCATAGTGATACATTGTTTCCATTTAATATCCCATCGTTCTGATGCCAGCTATTTGTTGCTCTCTTGTGTACATTTCCCCCCCAAATATATCCAGATTGCAAAGAAACTGAGGTCACCATGACAGCGACCCAAAGTCAAGTGACAATACTGGCCTACGTGTGATGGCCTTGGTGGAAATTTAATAAAATTATTTCGATATGATGCTTATGTACAAGTAGCTAGTATTTTCAGTAATGGGTTGACAAATGCAGGCATTTTGTAGCAGTATTCAGAAAACTGCGGGAGTTAGGTACGGTAAAAGTTATGATGGCTTGTAGTACAAAAACGTTGCAAACAAACATATCTAACTGTTCAAACTTAATATTATATGTCTTCCACAGTCTATATATTTTGTAAACATAACAAACTATTACAGTTCAGTAGTGCAACGGTAGCAAAATACCTATTAACCCAATGTGCCATGTGGTCCAAAGGTAGCAATGCCAGTCATAACCCAGATTACAAAGCATGCAAACTGAGCGGCTGAGATAAATTTAGTAGTAACTATAGTATTAACACTGATCTCAAAATTGTAAGGTCAGTTGTAGCTAACTACAAAGTATGGCCATTGTGGCTCTGTCCCTGGCAACTGGTGGTGTATGTGATCAATTTCATGAAACTTATGAGAGGCAGTTTATCGTGTAATCTAATATACAGGTATTTGATCAACGTCATGCAATCTACAAAAGAATGTAATTATTTGCGATGGATTAATCAAACCCATGTCTGTATCTCTTTTTTTCGTTCTGGCTTGCGAACTCTCAATGAGTAAATTCACTCTCACAATCACTAGCTCATCCTGTCTCTTACCTGTATTTATTTTTCTAATTTGGGGCACTGTTAAAATTATGTTCATTGTCTTCCAATGATTTTTTATGATTATTAGTATTAGGGGGACTGTCTTTGTTACTGTACGACTGTCTGCTGGGACCGAGGTTAGGGTGGAAAAGAATAGGGGCAGTCTTCTCGAAATTTGTCTCTGACAAATAAAAAAGTCTTGCACTTCGATATTTTGTCTTTGACTCCTCGGGAAAATGTAAACACCCGAATTTTCCTTTAACTCAACCGAAGCTTAAGACAGGTCTGGAGGTGTCCTATGCCACCTTTTCCAATGGCAATTAGGACGTCGCGCGACGTCTCGCGACACCCAAAACTTGTTTCCTGATCGGAGGCGAGACACAGGCCGCAAGCACAAGTAGCTGTGGTTGGCGGCTAGCTGTTTTACTGTACTGATTATTTTTTCGAATGTACACAGTATTTTGGAATATCATCCCAGATGGCTTTTAATATCTTATGGTGGGTTGTACTGCGATATAGATACCTAGTATAATTACGAATTTGCATGAAAATAACCAAGGGAAGAGGAATGCATCCTTACAGAATCTTATTAAAAATTCTGTGACCTTTCGTGAATACCATCCTAGGCTATTTTACCACATTATGATATGGTTCAGTTTACATGCTTCTTACTTCAACCTAAATATGTTAACAGCTTTGACATACCTACAGTGGCACATTCATTTCACTTCTTTGAGGGCATAGTTGACATGGTTTCCTACAAATTCATACATGAAGTCAGTAAATCTGCTTAGCATTGTGCATTTTACATTGGAGTTGGATGGCATGAAAGTAAGACTTTTAAAAGGCTTGAATGCAGCTTTTTCACAAAATAAGAAATACGATATTAACAGCATGCTTGATAATTTGTAGGGTATATAATTAATTAAAGGGTTACAATACATCTGAAGGTGACCCATTTGCATATAATCTCTTGAACCCAGTTCTATTCCGGCGACAGAAAAAACGCCTTTCATAAATCTATGGGAACTGTGACATCTTACCTCCATTATCATCTTATTACGAACAGTTTATCTTGCTGAACAACCGTGGCCCTTATCGCAATTATTATAGCTGTGTTGCAGGTTGTTAGGGGCTAAGTTCCAAATATAAAGCCACTAAGCCGTTATCAACTG